GTGTTCATCCCAGGCATGTGCGGCAGCGTAATGATCTTCGACGTGACGGACACAATCTCTTATTACACAGATGTTGCTTGGGTCAGCTGTTTAGACGTGATTGTATACATCGGTTTTGACAGGTTTGGTATTTCAACCTTGCGCAATAATTTCAGGCACGCTTTCAGTGGGATGTGAACGATAATATTGAGAAGCAAGATTTGAAGTCATACTTAGGTTAGTTTAAGAAGATTGTATTGCAGAGGCATCGTTCAGAGCTTCTTGGGCGCATCAAGCGTTGGCAGAGAGTCACGGCGAACCAGGTTGTAATGATTATGCTGGTAGCGACAGATATGGTGCTGTATTTGCGTGCCGGCTTCTGCTTTGAGCAAATCCGTGCTCTATGGCGGTCCGTGCAAGTCCAGCCGTCGTTCTCGGACTTTGTGTGGGCAGTACTCGTCAAATGTTCGTGTGCTGACCTCCGTCTGCCCCCTGCCCGGCAGATTCAAGATCTACGTGCGGTGCCGACATATCCTCCACGACGCCGCCAGTGCTCGTCCGTCATGGGTCTGCTGGGCCAGATGTGTGCGTTGGCCAGGCCTCCAGAGAGGCGCCAGCGAGCGGTGGCCTTATCAGATGGTTTGAGCACGCTCTTGCAGCAGGGTGCCGCCAGCGGGCCGATCATTCCAGCAATTGCGGCCGATTTCGCGAGGCGACTTCTGATTGCTCTGACGCAGTGACGCCTTTTGGATAATCCCGCCCAGCACATAGTCTACGGAGGGATTTTCTGCGAGCGGGGGGCAGACAGATCGGCAGCAGTCATGGCTTCTCTCGTCGGTCAGCCTAGTCGATGTCCCCGTATTCATCGCAGTTTGGCTCCCAGAGTTGCGCTTGCTTGTGTGGCTTAAGACCGGCGCGTAAGGGCCTCGCACATTGGAGTGGGGTCACCCAGGGCACACGAAGCATGACCATCGATCGTTGAATAACATTCTTCACGGTCTTGGTTCGGCGCTCTACTTCCAGAGGAGAGAGGAGGGAGACGGAGGGAGGGAGGGAGGGAGGGAGGGAGGGAGAGAAGGAGGGAGGGGGGGAGGGAGGGAGGGAGGGAGGGAGGGAGGGAGGGAGGGAGGAGGAGGGGGAGGAGGAGGAGGAGGAGGAGGAGGAGAGAGGAGCAGGAGAAGGGATAACAAAAGAGACAGGGAGGGAGAGGAGAGGGAGGGAGGGAGGGAGGGCTGGAGGGAGGAGGAAGGGATGGAGGGGGAGCTGGCCTGGCCGCCGCCACGGGGTGAGGACACCTCGGCGGGCCTGCCTCGTGACCGCGAACGGGCTCGGATCCAAGAACTGGTGCTGGTTTGAGAGCGTCGTCGTGGTCGCGGGTGGTTGTCATCGTCGTCGGTGGCACTCGCGCATGCCGACGTGAATCCGCGTCATCTGTTAGTGTTCGGCTTACCCGACACGCGTGCGCGCGTACTTTAGGGTTCGCCTGTCGACCCGACCGAACCCGGAGAGTAAGCGTACCCCTAGAGCCCCTAGGCCCATCCTGGCTAGGCTTGCCGTAAAGCTTATTAGGCTCACCCCTAGGGCCTGCCCTAGGGCCTCTAGGGCCTACCCCTCGGCCTACCCCAGGCTTCTCCTAGAGCTGACCCCTCGGCCTACCCTGGGCCTACCACTTGCGCCTACCCCTAGCGCCTACCCCTAGGCCTACTAGGCCTACCCCTAGTGCCAATCCCCAGACCTATCCTAGGCAGGCATATCCCTTGGACTCTAAGGTGGGGCTTCCTTAGGCTACCCTCGGGCCTGGGGCGTATGGTAGAGCCTAGATTAGCCTAGGCCTTCCGGGTTCTGTATCAGGAAATGGGCGCCGCGACCGACCGCTGGTAAGTTTTGCTGCCGCCCCGGGCCTTGATCCCAGTCCTGCCTGGAGGTCACCGCAAAGGTCCCAGAAGACTTCTGGAGGCCAAGGGGAGGGCCCGATGTCGAACAGTTTGTCTCCTCAATCCTCGATTCGTCGCGGGCGAAACTTGAAGGCGACCGACTCGGTCCAGCCGCCCACCCCTCCGCCGTTCGCACATCCGCTCTCCCCACTTCTTCGCGCCAGGCTGCCATCCTGCGCGCCTCACGATGCGCGCGCGGTCCATGGCCTTCCAGCGCGTCGTCGTCGTCTTTGTCGTCGTCAAGGTCGTCGTCGTCGCCGTCGAACCCCCGCTGCAGGTCTCCCGCACGGTGCTCATCTGGGCCGCGGAGCTCGCCCTCGGGTGGAACGCCTTCAACGGCCTCCAGGAGACGGCCTTCTGGTCTCCGACCTCTGCCTGCCTTTGTGTCCTGAGATCCCGGCGCTGCAGTTTTTGTTCACGCTGGTCGCTCTCGCCCTGTCTCGGGCCTCGGGACCCTCGCGGATCGATCGGGCCAGAAACGTGCCGCAGAACGAGGGTTCTCTGGGGGTCCAGTCATGTTTTTTCAATGCTTTGCGTTTTTGCCGCAACGTCGGATTTCAGGGTGCGTGCGCCTGCGCTCAAGAGGCCTGCGCCAGTCCGCCGGCCCCACGCAGAGGGGGAAACGCCCGCGGGTTCGTTGGAGCTGGAGTAGTTCCCTGCGGCGTCGGGCCGAGGACCGTGGAGTTGTTGTCATTGGGCTCTACTGCGGAGGAGGACAACGACGACGCTGCGGAGGGCGAACAGGCTGAAGAGGACAGGCTGGGTACAAGGGAGCGTGGTCGCGCTGCGAGGGCAGCGGAAGGTCACAGGAGTGGCGTGAGTCAGCAGCCTCATGCAGTGGCCAGGTTGCAGAGGGGATATCTGTGGCAACCCGGGCTGAACCCCGCATCCTTGCCGGCACAGCAGCGCAGCGCGAGTGCCGTGGAGCCGAGAGCCCACTCCAGGGGAGTGCTTTGCTCGAGTTGACGCGGGTGTTGAGCGCACCCTCCGTTCGCGCAGCCTCGTTCTCTTCCTCATTCCTCCTTCTCTTTTTCCTCCTCCTACTCCTACTCCTACTCCTCCTCCTCCTCCTCCTCCTGCCCTTCTAGATTCTAGACAGAACATGAGATGTAACATGAGAGGTGTCGTGCCAGCCTCTTTCGGACGTCTCGGGAGCCTATTGGGGGCTATTTCGGGGGCCTCTTGATGGCCAGATGGTCTCGATCAGGAACCGCGGGGGGCCTGGGGGCCGTCCGGGGCGTGATGGTTCCACGGAGTTGTTCTCAAAAGGCTCGATTGAACGATTTGGGGGGTTCTGGGGCAGTATCTTTCTCTCTCTCTCTCTCTTCCTCGCTCTTTCTCTATTCCTCTCTCTCTCTCTCGTTCCCCTCTCCCTCTCCCCCTCGCTCTACTACAATGCTACACGTACTCATTGAGTACACAATATCACTATATGGATACTACTCTACTTTCTCCCGCGAACATGTGCTGATAGTATCCGCCCACCCCCGCACATGATGTGGGCGTGTTGGTCTTGAATATGTTCTGTTTTCCACATGCGAGCGTGCTCTGTCCGTCCAACATGGAGCTCCAGACCTTATTGTAGGATCGGGGCTGTGCGCCCGTCGTTCAGAATGGCGCTTTCGCCCAAAAGCGGGCCACTTTTCTGGATCCGAGTCGTTCCCTCTTGTTTCCCCATGCCCCTTTCCCCTCCTCCGCCTTCCCCTGGTCCTCCTGCTTTGCCCGCCACTTCCACTTCAGCTCGTGCTGCTGATGCTCGTCCTCTTTCTCCTTCTTCCTCCTCCTCCTCCTGTTCCACATGTTCATCCTCCTGCTCACCCGTCACCTCCTCCAGTACGCAGCTCTCCATCCTCTGATTGCGCACAACACCACGTTGTCTTTGCTGGAGTTCCGGGCCCGCTACGACACGCGTCCGCGGATAGAGAATTCATCAGCGCAATGGGAAGGGATGGGAGAGAGGGGCAGGATGTCAGATGTGGCGCGAGTGCACCCAGCTTGCCCTCCCCCTCTCTCTCTCTCTCTCTCCCTGTCTCTCTCTCCCTCCGCTTCCCTCTCCCTCTCCCTCCCCTGGAAGGCACATCTAAACATCTAGTTTGGTTGCTCATTTCCCCAGCGGCAGCTGCATTCGGAAGGACCGCATGGTATCTAAACTTCCTCCCTGCATCATATGTGTGTTACAGCTTTTTCGTACAGAAAATAGATACGAAGGGATATGCTTCAAAAATAGATGCGTTTAGATCCGAATTCTTATTTTTTAGATACGGAAGGTATGTTTTCTTCCAACCGTTAGATACGGGGTCATTTCTAGATAAGAATAGATATGTTTAGATATGTTTAGATATGTTTCAATATGGCGCCCATCGCTGGAAAACGTGTATACCAACAATAGACACAAATAGATACGGCGCCATGTCTCCTGCGCACGCCCACGATCGATCATTATCGTTCCTCGCTCCTCTTGGATCCTCCTCATCCGCCCTCCTCGGTGCTCATCTTCTTTTCTTTTGCCACATACTGAGTGGGGTTCTTGTTTCCCGCATCCTGAGTGGGGTTTTTGTTTTCCCAGAACACCCTCTCCTGTTCCTTCCCCTCCTTCTCCTTCTCCCGCCTCCCTACTATACCATACCAATGCATACCATACCAATACCACGCCGACCTACCATACCATACCTACCACACCACACCTACCATACCGTACCCACCATACCATACCAAACCTACTATACCATACCATATTTACAATATCATGCCATACTATGCCATACCTACCAAACGAACTGTACCAAACTTCTCCTCCTGCTCCCCCTCCTCCTCGACTCCTTCTCCTCCTCCTCCTCCTCGTCCTCTTCGCTCTCCCCATCCTACGGTTCCCTGTTCCTACTCAGTTCTCTCATACATTTCGTTTCGTCGTTGATTTCCGTCATACTCCTCGTCGTTTTTGTCGTCGTCGCTCGTCTCCACACTCCTCATCGCTACGGCATCCCACGATCCTCATCCCGTTGTTCATTGCTTCGGCCAATCTCATGGATCTTGTTCGTGCCGGGAGCACAGCCAACTGCATTCGTTCTAACAACAATTTGATACGAATAGATACGGCGCGGCACTGCCATTATTTGACAAATAGATGGGAATATATATAGATATGTTTCTGGAAGAAAACAGATGCGGTCCCAATTTCTTTGATATGCTTGAACAATACATACGTTTAGATACGGCGGCGCTCCCGCGCAGGCCAGGGGCGCGCATCTAAAAATAGTATCTATATTGTCGTCGTTGCAGGAAAATAGATACGATGGGCTTCTCGCCTGCGCCAGGGCGCGATCGCATCTGAACGCATCTATCATTTTTGGATACGTCTTGCAGGGTCTCTCTCTCCCTCTCCCTCTCCCTCTCTCTCGCGGCCTGAGGCGCCCACAGAAGCCCGGGCGCCGCCCCGGGGGTCGCCCTCCGGCGCGAGCAGCGCCACAGGAGGTCCGATGCTGCGAAGTGCGGCGGCCTGTTGAGGAGAACCCCCCCAGCGGGGCGCGAGGAGCAGCGTGCCTCGCGCCTCGCGGCCACCGGGGCCGGAGAGCTGCCCCTCTCCAGGGTGGCGGCGCGAGGGCGCGAAGACAGGCGCTGCGCTGCGCATCGCGGGGCGCGAGGCGGGGTGACCCAACACGTCGATGAGAGGGTCCCTCCCCCTCGAGGTCGACTTCGGTCCTCCTTGGAGGGCGGGGTTCGATCCGATCCACTTGCTGGTGCAATCGGCTCGGTCGGCCCGCGATGAGTGGCAGCCTTTGGGTAGCCTGTTGCAGCGATGCGTCGTGAGAATCCACTCGCTGCCGCGAAGCAGTTCCCATTTTCACAGGCAGCTGGCCGTCCAGCATGTGACTCGGGCCTTGAGAAAGCAAGACATGCGGAACGAGGAGGAGGAGAAGGAGGAGGAGGAGGGGGGGGAGTAGGAGGGGAGGAGGGGGAGGAGGGGGAGGAGGGGGGGAGGAGGGAGGAGGGGGAGGAGGAGGATGAGGAAGAGGAGGAGGAGGAGGAGGAGGGGGAGGAGGAGGAGGAGGCGAGTCAGTTTCGTTGCCTGTACCCTCGTCAGACCTCCGAGGTCTCGACCTCTTCTCGAGGCGCCAGGCCCCGGACCTCTCCCGACGTCGGCGGCGAGCGACGGGAGGAAAGCGAGAAGGAGAAGGCCTTCTCAGAAGGGCGGGGTTTCTCAGAAGCCCTCGAGCCTTTGAAGGTCTTCTGCGTCGCCGGGAAAGCCTTAGAAGACTTCTCAGAAGGCCAGAGGACTTCCAGGCCTTCTGATAAGGCTCGCCCCTTCTCAGAAAAGTCGAGAAACCCAGAAGCGTTGAAACGCCGGGGGGCAATCGCTGATTTTGGCTTCTCGGGGCTCTCTTGGGAAGACTCTTGGGGCTTTCTTGGGGCGTCTCGAAGTTTGTTGGGCCATCATTGAGCCACTTTAAGCGTCTTGTACCGATCGTGTAGCGATTCGGGGCACCCTTGGACCGTCTGGGCGAGCACTTCGGGGTCGTAGCCCGTTTTGGGGCCCGTTTGGCTGTAAATTAGCCTGACGAAGGACCCAACCATGTGTAGCTGTGACCACCATCGTTGTATGCACCGCATTCGGTGGAACTCCCTACGGGCCCACGAAACGTGTGAAGGTGTACCAGAATAGGTGCGGCGGCCACATGCAAGCGCTGGCTTCTGGACCTTCGGTGTAGATCCCTTTGGGGCTTCGAAACGTGTGAGGGGCGTGCCAGAATGGATGCGGTGGCCGCCTGCGAACGCTGGCATCTGGGGCCCTCCGTGGAGCTCCCTATGGGGCCACGAAACGTGTGAGGGGTGTACTGAAATTGAGCGGTGGCCGCATGTGAGCGCTGGCATTTGAGCCTTGTGTGGGGCTCCCCGTGGGGCCACGAAACGTGTGAGGGGTGTGCCAAAATGGGTGCGGTGGCCGCATGCGAACGCTGGCATTTGGGCCTTCGGTGGGGCTCCCCATGGGGCCACGAAACGTGTGAGGGGTGTCCCAAAATGGGTGCGGTGGCTGCATGCGAACGCTGGCATTTGGGGCCCTCCGTGGAGTTCCCTTTGGGGCCACGAAGCGTGTGAGGGGTGGACCAAAATTGAGCGGTGGCCGCACGCGAGCGCTGGCATTTGAGCTTTGTGTGGGGCTCCCTATGGGGCCCCGAAAGGTGTGAGGTGTGTGCGTGTGCCAAAATAAGTGCGGTTGCCGCATGCGAGCGCTGGCATTCGGGCCCTCCGTGGGGCTCACTATGGGGCCGCGAACCGTGTGAGGGGTTTGCCAAAGTGAGGGGGTGACGGGGGAGGGAGGAGGAGGGTGAGGAGGAGAGGAGAGGAGAG